CGTTTCAACTTGAAATGCTGAATATCCAGAGTAAACTGAGGTTTTGTGTCTGGGGCTAGTTACACCCCAACACACAGAACTCTGTCGTCAGTGCATTTGTCTTCCCTCCTTCCTTCATTGAAGTCAATCCTCCCTGTCTCATCCATGGTGCTTGGTAACCTTTTAAGTACAAAACAAGCAAACTGAAGCTGTGGAGTTTAAAACTGTATACTGGAATTCTGTCAATGACTGTGAATGACAATGATAAAATGATTTTTTTCCCGAACACCACACTATTTTTATTTCTCCAAACATTTACCAAAAAAAAAAAAAAAAAAAGCTAAAAAACTGTATACTTTTCTGCTCGTCTTACACTAGAGTAGGGGTAGGCAACCTGGTTTGGGATTTCAGGTGGGCGCTGGTGGGCTCTGCAGAAAACGCCCAGTGGATCTTGATGGCCTTGGAACAAGACCAGCAGGGGAGATTCTTTCAGCTCACCTGCTGGCCTATGCAAAGCCAGCTTTGTTGTAAGTCCTCTCGGGCTGGTGAGGAGATCAAAGATTCTGACTTAGTTCCTGCAGAGGGAGGGAAGGGCCTAGGAGGCTCTGTGTTCCTCCTGCGAGCAAGCTGATCAAAGCAATGCCGCTCGTTACCATGGCAATGCTCCGATACAGTGCTGTGCTCGCAGGAGCACAGGATAGTCAGCCTGCAGCCAGAGGAGCTGCAGACTAAAGTACACATGCCCCCACTGGACCACCAGGGCTTACAGCATTATGTCCCCCCTCCCTGGTAAAATGTAAGCAGAAGGGAGGTGGAGACATTAAGATTTTCACATCTCACCAACCTACACACAGCATAGACCCTATGCACCCTTCACACACACACACACACACACACACACTGCCCCTTCACACAGACTGATCCTCACACACAGTACATCCCACACAGAGACTGAACCCTCTCTCACACACACACACACACACACACACACACACACAGACTGCCCCTCACACAAACTTCCCCCTCACACACACACTGCCCCCTCTCTCTCATACATACACAAACACACTGCCCCCTCACACGGACACACTGCCCTCTCACACACAGCACCCTTCACACACACAGCACAACTCACCACGGGCTGCGCCCCTCACACACGCACTGCCCCTTCACACACGCACTACAACTCTCACACATGCACAGGACCTTTCAATACATACTGCACCCTTCACACACACACACATAGCACCCTTCACACACACACAGCATCCCTCACCCATGCACTGCCCCCTCACACACACTGCCCCTTCACACACACACTGCAACCCTCACGATGCTTCTCAACACACACTGCACCCTTCACACACAGATACACACACACACACTACACCCTTCACACACAGCACCTCAAAGTAGAATAGAAAAAAATAACAAAAAGTGATTAATTAAATTAAAGTACATATTAAAAAAATAAAACCCTCCTTTCTACAAAAAACAAAAAACAAAAACAACCCTCACACACACAGTCTATGTATTCTTAACACTATAGAATCACTTTAATGTATGTATTATTTTATTTTGTTTATCCATTTCCTATTTGCCACTATATCTTATGCATGTTTTTATATGCGTCCTATATGCTCTTTAAATGTTCTAGATGCTTTTTATATGCTTCAGATGTATTTATAATGTATTTACTGTATTATTATGATCCTTCATAAAGTATATATTTCTCTATTTATCCATTCACGGCTGTTTTGCCAAATTCAATATGGTGGCCAAGACACTTCCGACGCTATGCATGAGGACTTCCAGTGTTACCCGTATCCCCATAGGAAAGCAGTTGGATAATGCTTTCTAATGGGGAAATCCTAATGGCAGCACAGCCATTGCAAAGGAGGAGGACCCGAGCGAAGGCAAGCAGTGAAGGCGGTCCCTAGCCAGCACCGAGGGATATCGCGACGGACCCAGATAAGTGACAAAATGGTTTTAACCTCTTCTACACCAAGGGGGAGCAGGGGGCACAGTGGTGTAGGAGCTATAGTTCCAGGAAAACTAATTTGATCTATACATGTAAGCTGCTTAATTAAGCTGAAGTTGTTTTGGTGTGTAGAGCATACCCTTAACCATCACAAATATGAATTCATCAGTTATACATATATTATAACTATTTACAAGTATAAAGGCACAGTATACTTAGTTTAGCATGTTTTATCATTTGTTGCCAAGTGGAGTAAACATTTTTTTTTATTTCTTGAAAATAAAAATACATGAGCCATAGAACAGACAATCAAGAAAATATTTTTCTTTCAGAAAACAAGGTTGGTGAAAATGCTAATACGGTATATATAACATTTAATAATGTACCATTTCCAGGAAAATTACAAGTAGTATAAAACTTTTTTTATTATTATTGAAAATGTATGCATCTACTGGACATTCACTGAATCAGCAATTTAGAAAGCATTAACATAAAATAAATAATAACTCACATAGCATGGCGTATTTTTCTTTTGTATCACATTTCAAAAGAACATTTTTTATGGCATAATTGGACCACAACACATGTGGAAATATTGTCCAAACCAATATGATGAGACGGTTAATGGACTTTTATCAACAGCTAGAAGTTCACAGGTTCTTCAGCAGGAACTCTCAAAGCACATGAAATTTCTATTTTCAGGGCAGCTCAAACTCAGTGTGAAAACAGACAGAACATACTATTTTTAACTAAAAAAAAAAAAAAAAAAAGATTTATTAAGCTGAACCAAAGTGACATTTTTTACATTTTAATTAACGAAGTCTGGGCATTTTCCAGGTGCTATATATATCCCACTGGAGGACACGTGTAGCAAACTCTAGATCAGGCATAGGTAACCTTCGGCACTTCAGAGGTTTTGGACTATACCTCCCATGATGCATTACCAGCATTATGGTTGTAAGAGCATTATGGGGGATGTAGTCCTTAACACCTGGAGTTCCAAAGGTTGCCTATCCCTGGTCTAGATCAATGGTTCCCAAACCGGTCCAGGATTTAGGGATCACCCAGTTGTGTCTAAGGTGTTTTTAGAAAAAAAACAAGATAAAAAAAAAGGTAATAAGGTCTTGCTACCTTCAGACTTTCTTATGATTTTTAAAAATTTTTTTTTACCTTAGAGATGAATAAGGAATATAGTTTAGTATTGTATATTCATCTTGTTTAACCAGGTAACAAAACATTTAAGTAAACAAATCTACCACCTCTCAACTGTCCTATACATTTTCTTTTTTGCCTTGGTTTAGCTAAATATTTGTTTCATACCTGGCAGTATCATCCCACATGTTGATATTCCTCTTAAGTTGTTGTATCTCTCATTTTCTAGATTGTATTTTTGTTTGGACAGAGCCATTGTAAACATCGTGTTCCTGTTAACATTTGTAATAGTTTATCTCGTATTTGACGTTTTATCCTGTTTGTAAAATTGTTAAGTGCTGCAGAAAGGTTTGGCTTTCTATAAATGATGATATTGTTAATAATAGTGATACCTGCTCAAACTTCAGACCAAGTTAACATATTTTCCTAACAAATATTATAAATTACATATAATAGACAAATGTAACAAAATCAATAAATAGATTAAGTTTAAAGTATATACTTGAATTAAAATGCAAGTTGGTTGATTTCATTGTTATAAGTGATGTATAACAATTATGAATCTCATAGTTACGTTTTTTTAACCTTATTACAAAACTTTGTTTCCTAAGCTTCCCTCCATCCCATTCAGTGGAACAATATTGAATGTTTAGAGTAAAAAATGGGTCGCAAGAGAATACTGAGACTATGCCTCACTGATGATGCCTAACAAGGCTGAAATGATCGTCTGGGGTTGCTGTGTCTCTCGTGCAGAGGGAACTTGCTGGCATTTCGGATCTGGACTGCCCATATGGGTGGAACCAGTCTGATATGTTTCAGAGATGTTCTCTCTGTAATGGCACAAGATGAGCAAAAATCAGATTGAGAACTGAGCAGGGACCGGCTGAAGGGCAGGCTATTTCAGCTGCTGCCTGTTCTCAGTATTCTTTTGCGACCCATTTTTTACTCTCCACAAGTTTAAAGGGATAATCCAGACGTGGACCCCTTGCTCACGGTGCCTAGAGAGATATCAGCTATGCCTCACTGATGATGCCTAACAAGGCTGAAACGATCATCTGGGGTTGCTGTATCTCTCGTGCAGAGAGAACTTGCTGGCATTTTGGATCTGGACTGCCCGTATGGGTGGGACCAGTCTGATATGCTTCAGATATGTTCTCTCTGTAATGGCACAAGATGAGCAAAAATCAGCTTGAGAACTGAGCGGGGACCGACCGAAGGGCAGGCTATTTCAGCTGCTGCCCGTTCTCAGTATTCTCTTGCGACCCATTTTTGACTCTCCACAAGTTTAAAGGGATAATCCAGATGTGGACCCCTTGCTCACGGTGCCTAGGGAGATATCAGCTATGCCTCACTGATGATGCCTAACAAGGCTGAAACGATCATCTGGGGTTGCTGTGTCTCTTGTGCAGAGGGAACTTGCTGGCATTTCGGATCTGGACTGCCCATATGGGTGGAACCAGTCTGATATGTTTCAGAGATGTTCTCTCTGTAATGGCACAAGATGAGCAAAAATCAGCTTGAGAACTGAGCAGGGACCGGCTGAAGGGCAGGCTATTTCAGCTGCTGCCTGTTCTCAGTATTCTCTTGCGACCCATTTTTTACTCTCCACAATATTGAATGTTTAGTTTGAAGCTATAAGTGGACCAATCTTGTATTAAATCCTTTACCTTTTTAAAAAAAAGTTGATGTCAAGAGTTTTATTAGTTCAGATCGCTAACTAATGTTCCTGTGGGCCAGCTCAAAAGTGTGGGGGTGGGGGGAAAACTTACTGAGTTGGAAATATTTAAAGAACAGGTGAACATTTTAAAAAATTTCTAAAGAAAAATTATGATGAAAATTTGTTAGAAGAATGTTTTGATAAAGTATTAAAGCGTAATAAAAAAAGTTTATTACAACACAAAATTAAAATTCCACAAAATGAAATGTTCCTTAATCTTACAATATATTGATAACGCAGAAACTCTTAAATCGATTATCAGCAAGCATTGGTACTTTTTACCAAATTACCCTATTTTAGCTTGATTATTACCGGAGAAACCAAGTGTGATTTTCAAAGGGGGCACCTAATATGAGAAATAAATTAGACGCTTTTGTGCACCCATGACCTCAAGTCATTTCCTTAAAGGACCACTCTAGGCACCCAGACCACTTCAGCTTAATGAAGTGGTCTGGGTGCCTGGTCCATCTAGGGTTAACCCATTTTTTCATAAACATTTATGAATGGGTTAAGCCTTCCCCCTAATCCTCTAGTGGCTGTCTCATTGACAGCCACTAGAGACGCTTGCGTGCTTCTCACTGTGATTTTCAGTGAGAGCATGCCAGCGTCCATAGGAAAGCATTGATAATGCTTTCCTATGTGACTGGCTGAATGCGCGCGCAGCTTTTGCCGCGTGTGCGCATTCAGCCGACGGGGAGGAGAGAAGGAGGATCGGAGGAGGAGAGCTCTCCGCCCAGCACTGGAAAAAGGTAAGTTTTAACCCCTTTTCCCCTTTCCAGAGCCGGGCGGGAGGGGGACCCTGAGGGTGGAGGCACCCTCAGGGCACTATAGTGCCAGGAAAATGAGTATGTTTTCCTGGCATTATAGTGGTCCTTTATTGGCAGCAAAATTTATTATAAATGTGGGCAATGCAGTATATGTATAAGTAGGTCCCCCATCTAGAAAAATATATAAATTTAAGTCTATGATCACACAAAGGGCATAAAAAAATCAAGGATCTTATTACATGCTATTCTAAGGGGATGATGTATTGTCAACTTGCCCGTATAAGAGCAGACTAAAATATTTTTTAAAGGTTAGACTAGCAAAACCTGTAGGTAATTTAAGGAGGGGTTTTAGTAATTATTCACTACCATAAAACAGTTTAATAGTGATTCCAGTCTGCTTAAATATCAAGGAATGCAGTTAGTTAGAAGAATTATTGGCACTTTATAAATAATAATAATAATAATAACATACAACTGGTATATCAGAAATGTATTAGATATATACTTTGAAGACATTAACACCTTTAGTTTAATACAGAACTGGAACTCAATGCACTCGGTTCGAATTTATTTGTGAAACTAGATATTTTTATGGATGTTTAAATAATATAGGGTGCCTTCATTTGTATTGTATTTAATTTTTCTAAAGATTGTAGATTGTATGTCCACAATTGTACACTTGTACACTGGGATGTGACATATATTATTTCTGTTTTATCATTTAGTCATCAAAGGATGATTTCTTATTAATATAATTCAAAATTCATTATATGGGAGATTTTAATTTACTACATCCCTTGACTTTTTGGAGATATTATACATATTGTTTTATAGGAAACTCTCTTTGTAGTCTTCACTATGTTTTTTATTCCCTAGAAACCCCACTAATGGTGATTATCATTAAGAGATCATTTATGCTTTCACATAGAATATATGCCATTTGAATAGTCTTTTTAGCATTAACCTATATATTCCCATATTAATTAACATGGAAAGATGTTTTATACATGTTAATTTTCTTTACATAGTGCAAATGGGAATTTTAACAATGAGTCTTTGATATATTATTAATTTATGTACATGTTCTTATTTATACATGTCTGCATTGAGAGACTTTTTTTAAGATACATGATTAAATATATATTAATTATATATTCTGCTTAAATAGTTCATTGTAAGTTCACTTTTTTATTTTTAACTTTATGGATATAGTACTTAATATGGTGAGATTTTTCTATTTTAGATAGTTATTAGTATGTAGATATTTTTCCTCTTTTGAACAGATATTATCTGTCTTAATATGTGAATTTTAAACATTGTTGAAAGTTCTGATTTAGGTGTAAATTATGAATTTCAATATGTTTTGAGAAATTGGTCCTCTAAATGAATTTGCTTTGCTCTTCTTAAATTATTATTATTATTATTATTATTATTTATAAAGCGCCAACAAGTTCTGTAGCACTGTACAGTGGGTGGACTAACAGACAAGTATTTGTAACCAGACAAGTTGGACGCACAGGAACAGAGGGGTTGAGGGCCGTGCTCAATGAGCTTACATGCTAGAGGGAGTGGGGTATAGTGACACAAAAAGTAAGGGTAAGGTAGAAAAGTAGGTTGCTAGGATAGTGTCCTGTGCAACAAAGCTAATTATTTTTCTATCTCTGGATTGATTTTTTTTATTGCTTTGTTATATTGGGCAATACTTGGTATGTATTGATTATTATATTGTGCAATACTTGGTATACATTGATTATTATATGAATGATTTAAACATTGTTTTGAATTTAGAAACTGTATTTGGATTCATACTTTGTAATTGACTATTTAAAAAAATTAAGCATGTATATCTTTAAGCAGACATTTTAACTCTTAAAATACAGGAAAAGTTTTCGGTGCGCTTATCTGGAAAAAGGCGAAAATGGGCAAAATGCGTTGAAATGAGCGGTGGTGGGATGAGCTCCTATCCACGGACACAGAGACTGGTGGACAGCGCTGCGCAGAGGAGAGCAATAACAGGCACTAAACACTTATCACTACGTTGGGAGTTTAGTGATGTCTCACATTTATTTTGTGAGAGAGTTTTATAATTGGGTTTTTCACGTAACTTTAATAAATATAGTATCACACTATGTTTTTCATCTCTTTTCTTTAAGGTGATGTTTAAGGTGATGCTTCTGCCTAGCATTGAAGATGATACTGATTGAGAATTCAGTTATACTTAAACTGATCCTGACTGACACTTTGTTGGATACAAAGTTTTATTTTTTATTTCAGTAGAAATAATACAAAGGACTAGTAAGAAGAACTCTATACACTGTTTTATAAGCAGTTTTACTTTATTATAATTGTTTTTAAAAGTTTTGGATTTAGTTTGATATTTATTTTAGTACTGACATTATTTTATATTGTTTTATAGAGCAAAAGTAATGAACTACATATCATAAAATCTTGATGGCCAAGGCTTAATGGGAAACGCTCAGATCTAGGTTTTATCCCTTTCCTAGTACACACTAAAAGAAGCGTATTTTTATTAATTTTTTTTGTATGTCTTAAATTATATAAATATAAAGTACATCTTTTGTATATCTCCCTTTTTATATTAATGATAAATAATGTATAGACTTTACTTCTATGTTTGCACTGGGACGCTGACCCTGGCAAGATAGATGCCAAGACTTGTTCATTTCCAAGAAATGCTGTATACGTTGGAAGCATTTTCTGGGTCTATGGAGCAAAAAAGGGCATTTATCACTATTTGGTACATGAATAACTTTTTATAAATCTGTAATTTTCAGACATGATATTTATTGATTTATTATCAAACACATTTTATTTACCTTTTCATAGTTGCCTTTACAATACCGAGCACATATTACCTTATATAATACAGTATAAATAACGAATCATAGTTTGCTTCATCCATTTTTTTATGGTAACTTTTAATCATTGAAAAAAAGTTCAACGTATATAGTCTGAAGATCAAAGGCAATTTGACGTATATACCAGAAATAAGCAAAATTGTAGCTGAGACTTTCTTATCCTTAAGGACCAAACTTCTGGAATAAAATGGAATCATGACATGTCACACATGTGTCCTTAAGGGGTTAATGTCTTAAACCACTGGTTTTCCACCAGTTTATTCATATGGATTCAAACTTTGTAACCACGGGTAACTGTGCAACGTTATGGTGCAATACATTTTAAAAAGAGCTTCTGGAACCAGCAGAAATAACACCCTGTGAGTTGCATGGTTGGGGAAGTTATAATATATAATTTTCTGCTGAGCCTTAAAGATTTTGCTCTAGCACTCCTCTAGTTACATTGAGAAAACTGGTCTTGATGTAGGCATAGATTATGCCAACATTATAATACGGATTCCTTCCAATTTTAAACAACATAATGTATATAGTTTTCATGTAAACATCAGTCATGACATATATTACAATTCCTAGCATGATGTGTGAGGGTATCCTGACTATTTCTTTTAGGAGTCTATATCTCTAACAACCTCAAACAGAAAAAGGTTAAAAAAAAATCCCTTTGTCCATGCTAGTCAAGAAGGCTTGATGTAGCATTACACCTCAACTGAGTCTTTCGCACCGACAAATGCCAGTACTAATCTCCATAGATTTTATTGTGCTGGCACATTGTGGATTTGTTTAACTGACAGACATTGCATGAGAAAAAGTATATACATGTTTAATAAAAACAGCTGTTAAATTATTGGTAAAGAATTAGCGAAGTTTTATTTTATCAGCAGAAGAACTCATTTGGCTGTCCTTCTGCTTTTGGTATTGCCTCAGAATCTACACTTGACCGTGCAGATAAAAGTCTATTTGATTCATCTGGAGTATGGCTAGTTAGATATTCCCCTTCAGTCACCTTTGTTTTTGTTGTTGTTGAGAGACTCTCAAATGTGACATAAGAGTCTTGGAGATCCTTGGATTTGCGTAAAAGGAGCTTTTTGCATCGTCTCTTCAAAGCTCCACAGCAAACCACAAGGGTTAAAGGGACAGCAATAACACAAGCCACACTAATGACCACCACATTAATCAGTTTCTGGGTCCCACCAGCACTGACTGCTTCATCTGTGGAAAAAATAATACATTGTTCCTTCTTGGGTATCAGTCCTTTTACACAAACACAGGCAATGTACTTTGTTTGGGGTATCAAGCCAACTATTGTGATCTTTGTCTTGCCAGGTTCTACATTAATCCTTTTCATGTCTCGTTCACCAAAAATTGCATAAAGGACACTAAAGATGGTGCCATTTTTGGCAAGAGGTGCTTTCCATGCAAGAGAGACACTGTGGTCTGTATCGCCAATGACTTTCACACCTCTCACTAGACGCTCGCTTTCTGGAAGTTTAGTTGGTGAACTCAGTAAAATATTGCCCGGTTCCTTGCTGTAGGGTCTTGCACCTGTGCCAGAAATTGGATTCATATTCTGCACTTCATTATTAAATGAACCTCGGTTGCCATTTACTCTAAATTTTTGCATGTCTGGGTTCATTTCCATCGAAAGGTATCTACCTGATGAAGTAGAAGAGACAGGGAAATCACCAAATAATATTCACCATTGTTTTCCTATATTAAACCTTACTGTATTATTATTATTGCCATTTATATAGCGCCAATAGATTCCATAGTGCTTTGCAATATTATGAGAGGGGGTGTTTAACTATAAATAGGACAATTACAAGAAAACTTACAGGAACAATAGGTTGAAGAGGACCGTGCTCAAACAAGTACAGTCTATAGGAGCTGGGGTATAAAACACATTAGGACAGGAAGTAGTAATCAAACAAGGTGGGAGTAAAGCAGAGCTGGAGGAGAGAGTAAAGTGCTGCTCTTTAGGAGAGAGGAAGAGACAGGTATGCGAGATAGTGGTAACTCTGGGAGGCCATAAGCTTTCCTAAAGAGATGGGTTTTAAGGCACATCTTAAACGATTGAAGACTAGGGGAGAGTCTGATGGCGGTAGGCAGTCTATTCCAAAGGAAGGGAGCCACACGTGAGAAGTCCTGCAAGCGTGAGTTGGCCGTCCGGGTGTGAGCAGCGGACCGGAGAAGGTCTCGGGCAGAGCGGAGAGACTGGGAAGGGGCATACCTATGGATCTGTGAAGAGATATAAGAGAGGCTAGAATTGCTCAGTGCTTTATAGGTACGGGTTAGCACTTTGAATTGACTCATTTAGGATACAGGAAACCAATGTAAGGACTGACAGAGGGGTGAGGTCTGAGAGGACCGACTAGAGAGGAAAATCTGTCTGGCGGTAGCATTCATTACAGACTGTGGTGAGGCAATATGGCTTTTGGGAAGACCAATTAGGAGAATGTTATAATAATCCAAGCGGGAAATTACTGGAGTAAGGACAAGCATCTTGGTAGCATCTTGCGTAAAAAAGGGGCGGATGCGGGCTATGTTTTTAAGATGGAATCTACAGGATTTGGCAACATACTGGATGTGAGGCTCAAAGGTGAGGCCAGAATCAAGTATGATGCCAAGACAGCGCACTTGCAAGAATAGACTTATGTGGATACCACTAACTTGAAGGGAGAACAACAGAGGAGGATTAGTATTAGGAGGAGGAAAGACATGGGGCTCAGTTTTAGAGAGATTGAGTTTCAGAAAGCAGGAGGACATCCAGTCAAGCAGTGACACGTTGCAGGATGGCAGGGGAGAGGTCCAGAGAGGAGAGATATATCTTGGTGTCATCAGTGTACAGGTGGTAGTGGAATCCAAATGAGGTAATATGTTTGCCAAGAGAGGCAGTATAAAGAGAAAATAGAAGGGGACCAAGGATATAGCCTTAGGGGACTCCAACCGAGACAGGATGAGGGGAGGATGTATCATTAGAAAAGGAGACACTAAGA